GTTTGAGGTGGCTGGGGTCCTTAGAGGGAAATAGACCTATAACTGAGCCTCAGGGAATGAACACTAGAGAGAGAAAGAATATGCCACAGCAGCTGTAAGGAATTTACTTTTTAAAATTTTAACAACTTAAATAAATAAATTTTATTCACTGGATCTTCTGACCTAGAGACTAGACTTGTCTTGCTAGTAGTGCTGGGTCGCGAGCACGAAAACAGAATGAATCACCACTCTATCCAGCAGAATGCGATTCGCAATTCACTTCAGCGGAACGCAGAACAGTGTCGCCCTCCGATTCCCGATTCACTCCCCTGTCACTGTCACTACCTTGTGACTTGTTTGTAACCTACAGCTGAGTCAAGTCGAGAGCGCAAGAGCAGAACGGAACACTTAGTATGGCTCTCCTTATTTTACAAAAGATGGTATAGTCCAACCCCCCTATTAAAACACAAAATGAACGGGGTCCAACCAATAGACAGAAGGAATTTTATGGAGCTATTGTTTTAGCCAATCATGGAATGGGGGGGGAGGTGAATTTAAGGGGGTCGCTAATTGAGGTCAGTAGATAGAGCAGCGCAACGAAGGGTGGGGGGCGGGACAACAAGAGAGGGACTCATGCTCGCCAAGTGGAGTTGATATGACACTGTTCCGTTTCAGTCAGTGTTCCGCCGCAGTTCCACGAGCGCTCGCAAACTCGCGATTCTTTGAAGCCGACTGAATCGCGAATCGCCACTCTCAGATTTGGCGAGCAGGATCCAGCTCTACTTGCTAGTGCCCCCCTTTTGAAGCAGTTGTTTTTTTTGGGGGGGGGGGGGTAAGTGTTTTATGGCGCTCGCAACTGCATACGGTCAAATGAGTGCACGGGACACATTAAACATTTTCAGTGAGTAGGAAATTTTGAATTTTGCCAGTGTGGCGACCGAAGCCTACTCTTATCGATTTTGGACCACCAAGGGATCTTAAACGTGAGCAACTTGCACACGGGACCTCCGAGTTTTTTCTCCCTTGTCCGAGAAGGCTAGGTGTAGATCTTTCCTACCAGAAGATTAGGGGTGTAGCTGAAAGACAGCAGTAAGAAGGAGCCAAGGAGTAGCTGTAGAAAGGCTGCAAAAAGAGTCAGGAGCCTAGAGGAGGGGGCAAAGAAGGTGGGGGAGGGGGGGGGGCAGAAAGTGGAGACGAAAGCAGAAAACAGACCATTGCCAGAGAACAGGAAAGGAGGTGAGAGGAGACAATTTAAAGAAGAAAAATTATAATGCATTGGGGAGTCATCGTGGATCTTGAATCTAGAATTTGATTTACCACCACTAGCACTCTACTAGAACTCTGGCAGTAGTACTATAGCTTGTTTTCTTTCGTCTGACTGCGTTAAAAAATTCTAGCTCATTTACTAATTTACCTCTAAGCCCACGAAACTTTGCATATTTATAGCACTTCTGCTGGTCAGGGACCAAACTAAAATTTTTTCAAAAAACCTTGATCCAACAAAAAAAATATTTTCTCTTTGGGTCCAATTACATTAAAAACCACCCTTTGGAAACATACAGGAACGCTAAAATAAATGACTTGCAGTAACCTTGCCCACAAATTGCTCATTTAGAGACAGAAACACCTCCGCGTCCCCTCATTTCAGTGTTAGCTTGTTAGATTTCCTCCCCCCATTGTGCTCCACACGAGTCTCGAAAGGTATTCTTTTACTTTCCCCTCCGTTTCACACTTAGCTAGCTACTAGATGTCCATTTTCAACAACACGACATTGACATTATATTGAAGCACTGAACACGAATATCGACTTTTATTTCCGTCACAAATTAATCTACTTTAAAAAATATTGGATGGTTTTTAATTTAACTTTATCAAACTGAGCCTCATTGCTAAGTAATATCCGGGCTTTAGACCAACTGGGGGTTTCGGGGGGTGGGCGTGACCCCCTGTTTTGACCAATCCAATAATTTGATGTTATACAGTTACGTTAAAAATGTTCTGGAAAACAATTGATTAGCGACAGTTTTAGTGGCTATATGTGCGATCTGTAGCAAAAAATACTGCAGTTTGACTCCGAAAACAGGGCATCCGTGTGCAGGAACGAAAGTAAAAAATTACCTCTCGAAAATCACTCATCTCATCCCTTGAAATGCGTTTCTTAGACATATATTAGAGAGTGGTGTTGAGGAAAATATGTCAACTTTTTTATGCTTTGGGTGTAGGCCCCTATGCTGTAAATCCCCTTATTACAGTTATTTTTGTGACCCACTTTGGCTTAATCAAAGACAACTTGTCGAAACCTTAGAAGGCAGTAAACCTTTACCTTTATGGGTTTTAAGCTGAGAAAATGAAACAGGGTGATTTCATTTTATCTTCCCTTAACAACAGTCAGATGAAAACAAGCTGTAGATCTAGACTAGATCTTCTTTAGTATAAGTATAGTTTTAAGTTTGTTGGTGATTTTGTAGTTTCGTTCGTTAAAGTCAAGAGTAGGGGGGTTTCAGGGGGCGCTTACCCCCCTGACCTAACAAAAATACCATAATTTTACCATAATTTGATGTTTCGCAGTTAGGTTGCATCCCTGTTCTTTGTGTTGCCTATTTCAACTATTTGGTTATCAAGACTTCAGAATTTCTTCTCTGGATGTAAACAAATGGATCGTGGACTTAAACTCATTCGCTAAGTATTATTTTCGGCTTGCGGACTAATTTTTTTCGGGAAGGCAAAATGAGATGATGACTAGTGCGCAGTTCAAAGGTCTTTGAGGCCTCAAATTCAAATATATATTAACATATTATGCACAGAAATTTTCAGTATGATTTGTAGAATACATCTGTAATGTTTATTTGTGCGTTTTTCAACTTTGGTTCCTGTAAGAGGCGATTACGCAACATAATTTTGCTTGGACGCGGATAAAATTTGACAATAAAAAATTAATCATCTTCGGTGAAACTCAAAAAATATGTTTGCACCTAGTCAAATTATACATCAAAATAACCATAAATGAATATAGAACTGGAAAATATTGAAAAATTTGCAGTTATATACATTCCATAAAATTTGCACATTTGTATCATGACAACCGACATTGAAAAAAAACCAAAAACATTTTATAATCTTGAAAAATGGACAAGATGCATTCGTAAACAGAAAAAAACACTCATATCGTATATATGGAATTATTCAGAATTGTATTCGGAATAAACCGACACATGCCGCGAGAGGTACTTTTTGTGTAATTTCATCAAAAAATAGTGATTTTTGGGAGAAAAAAACAATTTGACAATTTAGATCTAGCACTGAAAAATATTGATTTCTCAATGGCAATTTGAGCCCAATTGTATCAATATTCTAAATAATAGTCCTACATTTCTTTAGTGTGCAAAATAATAATATATTTTGTTTTGTAAAAGTAGTAAGAGACTTGGGTCCGGGCTAGATTTATAATTTGAGCATCACTATAAAACAAAGTCGCATAAACTTCGAAATTGTGTTTCAAAACTGAATCAAAACTTACGATTTTCGATGGAAATGCTTGACCCGGAAGTCAACATTATATTATGACCTTTATTTTATTATGATGTGGATTGGAATAGAATCTAAGCTAAAATTGAAGATCGGTTCTCGAGCCGCCGGGGGCGGCTTAGCGTACTTTAGCCGCCCCCCCCCCCCCCCCCCCCCCGGCTCGGCGTAGCGAATGAGTTAATGAACTGAACTACAAGATCACCAATTTGTTTTCATTTCATTTTCGCTTCAATTTCAGATTACTAGATCTAGATCTAGATCTAGATTCTAGATCTAGATCTATCTAGCTCTTATTCTAGATGGGAGTGTATACAGACCCGGCAAACAGGAACAAAGTCACAAAGTATACAGACCCGGTAGGGGAACTCTTTTGTGATTTCGGAAAGTTTCAGCGCCCTCTTGGCTCAGGGACTTAGAGTAGGCAGTAGGCCAAGACCTAGGTTCTTCTAGCTCTATGGCCTAGGTCTAGATCTAAACAGACAGACATAAATCAGCCTAGATCTAGATCTAAATGAAGATTGCGGATGTCTTTTCGATGAACGATTGTTTTTCCTCCGTTTTTGGAGTTGGAGGAATCACAATTTGAAGAAAAGAACAATGTCATAATAATGATAATTTCAATCGAGCAGTCACCCTCTCTCTCTCTCTCTCTCTCTTTCTCTGTGTGTCGCTCGCATTCTCTTTTTCTTTGTTTGTCTCTGTCTTTCTTTCTCCCCACCTATTTCCCACTCTATCTTTCTCTCGTTCCCTCCAGTCAACTGGGGCATGTTATATCCATTTTGCTAGCACTTCCCCCCTGCTCTCTCTCTCTCTTGCTCTGCTCTCTCTCTCTCTCTCTCTCTCTCTCACACACACACACACACACTACCGGGTCTGGGCGCTGAAACTTTCCGACATCACAAAAGAGTTCCCCTACCGGGTCTGTATACTTCGTGACTTTGTTCCCGGTTACCGGGTCTGTATACACTTCGATTCTAAATTAGATCGACTAGATCTACTACTACTGCTGCCTTTCCAATTTCAAACCAGCAAAATTTCAGTCAGACGGACTGTAAAGTAAAGCCAGAAAATTGGGGTGTATTATGACAACAAAGACAACTGCTTGAAATAAAAAGAATTCATTAGAAAGTAGTTTCAAGAATCAAAAAATAAAATATTTAAGTGGACCAAAAACTCAATATATGATATATGGACTGAGAATTGTCAAGTGAGGTCTGCTGATCTAGATCTAGATTTTAGAAGTCTGATAGGCTAATCATTAGGTGGGAATATAAAATTAAAATAAGACAAAGAAAAGCCAAAGCACTTTTACATTTGTTATGAATGTAGTGTTGCCAGGACAGAAAAGTGTGGGAGGGTGTCAACTGAAACAGCTGACAACATGACGTTATGTGCATAAATAGAACCATTCACCTAAAAAAAAAATAAAAAAAAGAAGGACGAAATCAAACGCAGAAAAGAAAAATGGAATCCAGGTCACTTGAATCTTCACTTACCTAAAACAAACTCCCATTGCTCGTTCCCCAGAGACCGTTCCGGTACAACTTCGAGGTCGAGCATTTTACCTGTATAATGGTCTCACCATCTGTGACAACAACAATTGAGCTGACTTGTTTAACCACAACAAAATACGATAAATTCACTGATGTTTACGAAATGTAACCTATCTCCATCGCCATCTTTGTTTTGCTTTTATGACTGTATCACCAGGTTTGTGTAAAAGCCAAACCGGAAACTGGATTGCACGAAAAACGAAATATTGATTTTGACCTTAGTATGTCCGTCCGTGACTGAAGGCCTAGCCTAACCTACATAATTTTGTACGTCTGTTCATGATTCCATGACCTAAGTGATTTTGAGCGGTTCATTTTTTGTCTTTAATAGGGAGTTGACTGTCGATAACAACATCACAATTAACCCTATTTATTGTAGTAGAGTTCATGGTCTTGCGTTTAAAAGAAAAAAATAAACATTTATAAGGAGAAAAATTATTCTACCAAAGGTGGGACCGTAACAAGGCCACTTTGTGTTCATCTCAAAAGACAAAACAAAATACCTCCGAAAATCCCACTGAAGACAGGGATGCTAACCAGGATAATACTTAATACTCTTCCCGATCTTGTATTATTTGATTATTTGTCCTATACGTATTGACTCTCACAATGCACCCCTTTGGACCTGCTTTAACCCCCC